ATGGGAACTGTTTACACTATTTTCAATTTTTAAGTAAATCTAAAAGTTCTGAAATTAGGTTTATTTGTAAAATTTGTTAGGGTTCTACCAATTAGGAAAACTACTGGTTATTAATGGTTAAGTAATTTCAAAGCAAAATAGATAAAGTTTAGTTATGATAGAATGTCAGAATTATCCTTCTGTTTTAAAAATGAAATCATATATGCATTAGTGGTCCTCTTCCTTTAACTTATGTTATTTTTAATTCAAAGAACTAAGAATAAATAGAATTAAATGTTTATTTTTAAAGTATGAAGGTAAAGAGAACTGACAGAAGTAGGTTTCTATACATCACTCAAAGTAGTAAAACCTCAATCCTAATAGACCATGGTAAGTAACATATGTGTATTGTAATACCACAGAAACCACCAAAAAAAAGCAGTATATTTTAAAACACTATAAGTGAATCAAGATGCAATTATAAAAGATAGACCATATCCTGGCCATAAAACAAACTTAGTAAATTTAAAATAATTGAAATCATACAGAATATCTTTTCTGTCCATAAAGAAATCAGACTACATATCTGTAACATCAGGAGAACGTGAAAATCTCTAAATACTTGAAAATTAAACCACACACTTCTAAATAATCCACGGGTCATAGAGGAAGTGTTTAAGGAAAATTTTTAAAGTACACAGATTGAAAATAAAACTGCATCTTACCAAGTTTTGTACAGTGCAGCTGAAGCCATGCTGAGAGAAAAATTTATAGCAGTAAGTGCTTACATTAAAAAAGAAGGTGAGATCTCAGAATAATCAAGTAACTTTCTACCTCAAGAAACTAGAAAAATAAGAGCAAAGTAAACACAAAGTAAGCAGAATGAAGGAAGTAATAGAAGGGCAGAAATCAGTGAAATTGAAAACAGGAAAATGATAGAGATCAGTGAAACAAAAAGCGCATTCTTTTAAAAAACAACAAAATTGATAAGCTTCTATAAAAACTAATAAAAATGAAAAGTGAAAAAATCACCAATATTAAGAATTAATAGAAATATTAATCACCAATATTAAGATTAATAGAAATCACTATATATATAATATTTCCCTTAAAAGGATAATAAGAAAATACTGTAAACAAACTATATGCTCAAGAAATGGACCAGTTCCTCAAAAACTACTAATTACCAAAACACAACCAAGATATACTAGTTTTGTGGCCATTAAAGAAATTGAATCTTTATTAAAAGTTTCTCCAAACGGGCACCCTCCTGCACTGTTGGTGGGAATGTAAACGGGTACAGCCCCTCTGGAAAACAGTGTGGAGGTTCCTCAGGAAACTAACAATAGAACTCCCTTATGACCCAGCAATAGCACTGCTAGGAATTTACCCAAGGGATACAGAAATGCTGAGGCATAGGAGCACATGTACCCCAATGTTCATAGCAGCACTCTCCACAATAGCTAAAACATGGAAAGAGCCTAAGTGTCCATCAACAGACGAATGGATCAAGAAGATGTGGTTTATCTATACCATGGAATACTACATGGCAATGAGAAACAATGAAATCTGGCCATGTGTAGCAACATGGATGGACCTTGAGGGTGTTATGCTGAGCGAAATAAGTCAGGCAGAGAAGGACAAATACCATATGTTTGCACGTATAGGAGGATTAGGAGGAACTTGACGGAGGACCAAGGGGGAGAAGAAGGGCGGAAATGGTGGGGGAAAGGGAGAGAGGCAAACCATGAGAGACTCTTGAATGCTGACAAAAACTGAGGACTGATGGATGTGGGGGGGAGGGGGGGATGGGCATGAAGGAGGGCACTTCGGGGATGAGCACTGAGTGTTATGTAGAAACTAATTTGACAATAAACTATTTGTAAAAAAAAAATAAAATAAAATAAAAATAAAAATAAAATAAAATTACTTCAAAGAGGAAAAAAAAATAAATAAATAATTAAAGTTAAAAAAAAATAAAATAAAATAAAAGTTTCTCCAAAAAAGAAGTCTCTAAGCCTCGATGGTTTTACTGGAGAATTTTAGCAAATGTTTAAAGAATTCACAGCAATTTTGCACATTCTTTTTCCAGAAAATAGAAGAGAAGAAGGAATGCTACCTAACTCATTTTATGAAACTAGTATTGACCTGACACTAAAGACAATAAACGAACAAACACTGCAGACTAATACTGCTCATGAACTTAGAGATAAAAGCCCTCGGCAAAACATCAGCAAATCTAATCCAACATGTATGAAAGGAATTACTCACTATGACCAAGTGGGGTTCGTTTCAGTTTAGCTCAATCTTCAGAAATTAATGTAATCCACCCTTGGATTGGAGAAAAATCATAGATCATATTAATTGATACAGAAAAAACATTTGACAGAATCCAGTACCCATTCATGATTTAAAAAAAAAACAAAAAAAAAACCTCTCAGTGAACCAGGAAAAGGGAAGAACTTCAACTTGATAATGACCATCTACAAAAACCTACAACTAACATCACACTTGATGAAAGATTGAATGCTTTCCTTCCGAGATCCAGAAAATTACTTAAAAAAAAAAAAAAAAAACGTGACTTGTAACTTGTATTCAGCATACTTTTGGAAGATGAAACCACTGTAGTGGAAGGAAGGGAGGGAGGGAGGGAGGGAAAGCAAGCAAGCGGGAAGAGAGGGAGGAAGGAAGGAAGAAAGAAAAGGAAGGAGGGAGGAAAGGAAGGAAGAAGGGAAGGGAGGGCAGGCAGGCATAGAGATTTTAAAGGAAGAAATAAAAATGCACATAAGATAAAGTTTATCATTTTAAGTTTACAGTCCAATGGTATTAAGTACATTTACACTGTTAGACAGTCATTACCACCATCCATCTCCAGAAAGATTTTATCATCCCATACTCAGACTCTGTCCTCATTAAACAATAATTCCTCATTTCTCTCTCTCCTAGGCACTGGTAACTGCTCTTTTATTTTCTGTCTCTATGTATTTGACTATTTTACTGATTTTTGACAAAAGTACAAAAGCAATTCAACGGATGAAGGACAGCCTTTTCAACAAATGATAAATGGTGCTCTAGCAGTGGGATGTCTCTAAACAAAAAAAATGTTTAAAAAAGAAAAGAATAACCCAAAATGGAACACAGTTTTAAATTTAAAATGTAAAATTATAAAACTTTTAGAAAATTACAGGAGAAAACCTCTGTGATGTAGGTAGTAGAGTTCTTAAAGTTGACATCAAAAGCGTAATCCATAAAGTGGACATCTTTCAAAATTGAAAACTTATAGACTGAGACTCAGCGAAATGGATGAAAAGACAAACTAAGAATATATACATATCTCCTATCCAGCCAATGACTAGTATCTAGAATATATAGAGAACACTCAGTACTCAACAATAAAAGAAATCCCATTTAAAAATGAGCAAAAGACATGAACAGATATTTCACTAAAGAAGATATACAGACACAAATGTGCACATGAAAACATGTTTGGTATCTTTAACCATTAGGGACATGCATAGCCACAATGACTATCATCACTTTTGAGAATGGCTAAAATTAAAAATAACAATGAAATCAAATACTGGCAAAGATACAGAGAAACTGGATCACTCCTACATCAGTGGTGAGAATGTAAAAGGGTATAGTCACTCTGTAAAACTGTTTGACAGTTTCTCATAAAACTAAATATGCAACTACCATGTGATCCAGCTTACACACTCCTGGGAATTTAGCCCAAAGAAATGAAGATAATATTCACACAAAAACCTGAACACAAATGCTTATAGCAACTTTATTTAAAATGTGAAAAAAACTGGGGGAGTGGTGAACCCAGATATTCTTCAACGGGTAAAAAACAAACTGGTACATCCATACCATGGCATGCTACTCAGCAATGAAATTCAGCACCTTGGATGAGTCTCCAGTGATTTATGCTGAGTGGGCAAAAAGCCAATAGAAAAACAGCCTGTGTTACCATTTACTCTCTGTTTCCATTTACTCTGTAACATTTTTGAAATGAGAAGCTTCTAGAAAATGTAGAATCGATTAGACATTACTAAGGATAAGGGTAGTAATGACAGAGAGGGAGGTGAGTGGCGCTGTAAAGGGAAATGAGAGACCTAGTGATGATGGAAGTGCTCTGTATTGTGACTGAGTCCGTGTTGACATTCTGGTTGTGATAGCACACTAGAGGTTTGCAAAATTTTACTTTTGGGTAAAGGGTACACAGGACTTACCTGTATAATTTCTTAAAACTATGTGCAAATCTATCTCAAATTATCTAAATCTATCTAAAACAAACTATCTCAAAATGTTTAAGTAAACAATAAAATAGGGCACACATCTTTCTTCCTCACAAAGAGCTGAAGTCAATCTTTTTGAAGAAACCAAGCTGAAAGCCATTTCTCAAGTGGGATGGAGATCAGCAGTGGTCTTTCTAGACTTTTCTACCGCAGCATTCTGGGATGCCGAAATTATATTGGGTGATTATTTTCTCTGACTTGCTTTCACCACAGAGCACATGCAATGAAGTCAACATTAGACAGTTTGAAAAGCTTTAGGCAAGTTTAGAAACATGGCATGGACAGAGGAGAGAATACCATTCAGTTTCTGGCGAAAAGAGAAATGAAACCTGACTTCTTTTGAACCGGGAGTACTGTGACCAATGACAAGGCAGTATTAAACATCCAGCTGCTCCTGCACCAGCCGTGGCTTGTCTCTAACAGTTTACTCTCTTAAATGAAGCTGTCAGTGGTGGACAGAATGGGCTCCAGCTTGCCGCAGGGTACAGCAGCATTCGTCTTGATTTGGAATAGTCCCAGCCTCTCTGTGCCTCGAATGTTTGTCTGCGTCAAACAGATTTTTTTTTTAAAAAGTTTTTATCATAACTTAATTGTAATAATGGTTTGTGGGTGTATTTCACTCAGGGCAAAAGGAATTGTTTGTTGCCATGGTTATTTATTCCACAGACTTACCTCAGACCGTAGAACAGGGTTAAAATTACATTGCTTTCTTTTTTTCAGTTATGGTCCATCAGAATGCATTAAGATTCAGAACCAACGGTTATATGAAATTGGAGGAAATATAGGTAAGCTTTCTCTAATGGTCTTCACTCCTAAATTCTCTGATTACTCTAAAAGAAATATGCTATTCTTGTAACAGCACATTTTACAAGTTTCTTAGATATAAATTCAAAGTCAGTAAGATTCTGGTTTTTTTAATCCCGTGTGAGAAGTTGTATGAATTTCCTAAAATATTCTCAAAATTTACATTTGAATATTTTAGTTGATACGGAGTAGACGTGTGGGTCTTTTTATTGTGCCTCAGAATTGACAAGTCTCTTCCTCGAGGTCCCTGCAAAACAGAGAAACATCATGGAACTTTGAAATTGTGACCCAAAGTTCACGGTTGAACTTTCCTGGTTTCACCCTCAACCCAGGTTCATTCCCTGTTTCCCTGAGGGAGAACAAAAAGGAATCAAAACGAAATACCCTCTGCTTTCATCTGCATCCTTATCTTCCCCTTCGTCCACGTCTGCTGCTTGCTCCCCCCTCACCCCCCGCATAGTCTGGATGAAGGACCCACGTTCCCACTGAAGGCCAAGAACCTCTGTGTGGACCTTGCTTTGTGTCCCCGCCTGCCACTCAGGGCCTTCTCCAGTCCCCCATTCTCCTGCACCATCAACTTTTCCCTCCCAGCTGCATCATATCCAATGGCATGAACAGTTTTGTGAAGATAAGAAAAATTACCAAAAATCTCTCTTGACCCTCTTCCAGCCCACTTGCATTTCCGTGTTCCACTTTACAGCAAAAACTCCTTAAAGCCGTTGTCTGTCCTCCAATTTCTCCCTCTTGTTCTCTCTTGAAGCCACTCCAGGCAAGCGTTATCCTGCAACACTTCACCCGAATGGCTCTCTTGTTGAGGCCACCAGAAAACTCTTATGTTGTGAAATGCAGTCATTCTTCTGTCTTGATAACTGCCTGCCGAGTTGATCTTTCCCTTCTTTGAAAACACACTTTCTTCACCTGGTTTCAAGGACGACCTAAGCTTCTGGGTTTCATTCCACTTCACTGGTGGCTTCTTCTGAGTCTCTTTTGCCTGCTACTTCTCATCCTCTTAGCGTGGAGCGCTGTGGGGTCAGGCCTCAGAGCTCTTCTTACCTGCACATAACTTCCTTGGTGAGCTCAATCCACCACATTGCTTTTAATACACCCGCATGCAGATGCCTCTCCCCTTACATCCAGACTTCCGCTCAGCACCAGCCTTGCCGAGCTCCTCACCAGGCACCTTTGCCATTGTGCCTTTGCATTTACTCTTTTTCCCAGAATGCTCTCCTTTAGAGCGGTGATTTCCATTCCCTCACCTCTTGCAGGTGTTTGCCACTGTGTCACCTTCTCGAAGACACCTTTCAGGACCTCACTCTCTCTAGGTGTACCTTACCAGGCTTTGTTGTTCTCTCATGTTCTCATCACCACCAGACTTACTTTAGATCATATTTGCTTATTTGCTGGTTGCCTTTTACCACTTTGAGAACTAAGTGCCCTGAGGGCAAGTGGTTTTGATTATCTGATGTATTTCTGTACCTTTAGCCCCTGGAAGAGTACCTGGAATATCGTCACTTTCAAGAAATACTTGATAAATGAATGAGTGAATGAAGCAAGCAGTCAAATATTGATAGTTTTGTTTGATACTTTGGTATACTTTTCAAACACACTGTACATAAAGATTTTCAAATGTATTTGCTTCATGGAATGATTCGTTGTTGTTGTTGTTATCATTTCTAGATCTCCTGCCTGTGGGCATTGCATCCGTAGTAAAGAAACAAAATGACCATTCCTAAAATGAATGTAATTTTAATCTTTTCTCGGCCTGGTCAAGTTATTATCTGTAAAACCGTTAGAGGACATGTATTATTTTATAAATCATCAGTTTATACCTTAAACAAGTTCTCTCCAAATTTTCCTGATTTCATATGGTGAGTCTAGGGAATAATTTGCCCACATCTTTCCACCATTTTGCATGGGATTTATGTGAAGTATTTCACAGTGAGAAGGAAACAAAAAGAGGGAAAGAGGAAGGCAAGAAGGCAGGCCGACTAGCTTTGCTAAGGAGACTTTACTATGTATCTACTTACTTTTGGCTGAGAGATTGGCCTTCACACCTTCCAACACACACATGCATGTGCACACATAGAAGCGTGCGCTGTCAAAACCATTCTCTGATTCTCTCTTTCCTTTAGGGCAGCATTGCTTGGATCCAGATGCTTATATATTGGATGTATATCATGTAAATCCTCAAGCAGAGTGGGTGATTAAACCCCAACCAAGTTTTTGAAATACCCTCCAAGATGGCAGCTATCAAGTATCACATGCCAGGATTCTACATTTGGTAGGAAAAAAAGCGAGACTACTTGTGACATGTGTGCTCCAATAACCCTCTTGGTGTTTCTCAGCCCAAGTGGTGTCTCCCGGCACTGTCAGCGTGAACCGTGGAGGAGGCGCTGGTTGACTCTCTGAGCTGGGGCTTTCTCCTGTGCTTCCTGTGAAGAGTGAAGGAAAGATGATGTGATCCTTCCAGAAGAAAGGCCAATCTAGTGTGTGGAACTCTAGTCATTTCTAGTACTTTGACTTCACAGCAGAAATGAACTTGGCCCTATACCTAGAGATAAGAAACACTTCTTTATGTAGCAAACGCTACCAAAGACAAGAGGTGGAAGAGAGTCATTTTTATACCTGTGTTACATATACGGGTGGACCTTTTTGAACAAGAATGCCAGAAATATCAATAATTTCTGCTCTGCAAAATAATTCAGATCTACTTTTCAAAGGGAATCAGTTTCTAAAGTTATGCATACGATATTTATGCTCTGACTTGCTCGCAAATTGAAGGAGGACGAACTTCTCTCGAAGGAACACTGTATTGTTACGTATGTCGTACTGTATTATGACGATCAGCATTCTGGTGCAAATGACCATTTCTCTATCGTGGACTGTTGAAAATTGCTATTTTTAAAGCTTCTTCTCTGATGAGCACTGGTCCCCATAGCAAAGGTTAGTCCAACAGAGGGTGTCCTTACTCTCTCATAACTTCTGTGTAGCTAATAATCACAGAACCTCGATTTTCTCATCCTGATTCTGGTGCTCAACGAATAGCTTTCTCTGTGCCAGACACAGATTTCCTTTCCTGATCAAACATATCATTTTTTATATTTCACAATTGTAGATAGTCACTTCTGCCACCCCAACTTAAAAATATAGAACTGCCTTTATCCAACTGTTCTTTATCCAAGAATACTGAAAAATACTGTTATATCCAGATTTTATATGCTGTAGAAGCATATTTTGTTTCTGTTCATCAGCCGTAGACATGGCCAAGCACTGAGGACTAGGCTCGGGCTTTAAAATCAGATGCAGTTTTGGCAAAGCTGGAAAACGGTCTCCCCGTGCAGACCCTACGGAGCCGTTTCCCAGACGGGCACCTGGTGGGAACATACACTGCTCCACGAGCTAATGCAGAGCAAATGGGAAACGTGCCTAGGGGTCAGACGGCTCTGCCTTTCCTCTGCACCTGCACATACGCTTCTTCCAGGGTTAGCTAGAAATGGGGACAGGAGCATTTATCCCACATGCATGCTTTGGATTAGAATCTGCAGATTGGGATTTTGATGAATTTGTATCAGTTTTACTGAGATTTTATGCCCAGAGGACTCTCTTCTGCAGTTCAAACAGTAAAGTTGCTCACAAATACAGAAGACATTTCATCTACTTAGCAATTCTCAAAACATAATGTGATGATAACTGAAGCCCATGTATAGAAGAAATCTTTCATATGCTGCATTATGCCTTGATATCTCTTAAAACATTATTTGTATTCACCATGTAGATAATTGTGTTTCTGGCCATTAATATTTTGTTATATTTTTTATAAAGAACTCAAATATCCATTTGTTTTATTTGTTTGAGAATTTTTATTTCCCGTGCCTGAAAACCCATTAGAAGATAAATGCGTTTCTATCAGTTTTTATTTATTCCTACATTTCCTCAGTTTTCGGTGGTTGGCTAATCGATGGCATGTGAGTTTACATGATGAATTTCAAGAGTTCAGAAAAATACTTTTATCACTTGATACTTCAGATGACAGAAATAAACATTTTACTTTAGGCAGACATAACATGGCGGTAATTTATACCCACACACATGGAAGAAAATCTTCAAATTCGCTACCTTATGCTTCCATGTATATATAAAAACAGGGACTGATTTTTCTTATTGTGTTTCCTGTAATTTAGCATCGTTAAATTCTACCGTGTTCATATAGAAGATTTACAACTCGTATTAATTTTCCTATCTTTGAACTGAAAACACAGTAGAACCCATACATAAGTTCTAAGCATTTTGAGATTCACTCCACTTATCATTTGTAAATAAGTAGGTAACAGATGACAGGTAAAAAACAGTACATTTCTGAATTTCTTACCCCCTTTTGTGTGGTGTCAGAGGTCAAAGATTCAGCTGAGTCCATAGCTTTAGGTTAATCACTTGAATGTATTTAAGGATGTGTGACAACTTTCAAATAGCTATGTAATATGGAAGGGCCATGTCAGTCCCACTGCCTTTCGACTTAACTTTTATTCTTTGTCATAGGATAACTGACTGATTTGAGGAGAATTTTCAGGAGACACACAGACCAATTTTTGTATGAGTAGAGGTTCTTTTTACTAACTTTATTCTTAAGGAATAAACAAACCTCTACAGTTACAATTCAAAGATGTCTGTCAAATAATTACTCAAACTATTTTTGCTTTGTCAAAGGTGGTTTTAAAATATTACAGTAGTCAATAAAATTGAGTAGTGTGTTTGCAAACAAGAGAAGACTCAGGTCCCCAGGCTTCTAGATCCAGTTTTCACTAGCTTCCCACCTAGGAAAATAATATCCCGGGAAGTATTGGAGAAAGTTAACATTTTGGTGACACCCAGGAAAACCCCTAGAGCTGGCTCATTGTTTTCTGCATTCTGTGAAGGAGGATCCCTTTGGTTAGCAGCTCATGGGGAGATATGATTCTTGGAGTCAGTGATCTTCAAAAAAACTGGAATATTAATTTCAATACAATGTGTATACAGTATAAACTACCTCACTTGCCTTTCTTGGGGAAAAAAAACGCATGGACTTTAACAGTTTTTGTTACAAACTGTCCCTGGGTCTTATTATTATTTAAGTCACTTCAGTTAGCTTTCAATGTACATTTAATGATATACATTTAATGATATAAAATATTTGTAGCGAAAGCTTTAAAGCCAAAAATACTCTGTAACTGTGACCTGTGGTATACTCTGATAGAAGTCTGTTCCTTAGTCATTGTCTTGTGTGTTTCACCACGTGCAGTGCAGGTTTTCAAGCGCAGGGATTAAGAGTCATCTCTTCTTCCCGGCATTTTCAACTGCTTTCCCCATATTGCACTTGACAGAAAAGAACATGAGATTAAAATCCCCTTCTTTCTATCAAGCATATCTCAACTGTTTTTCACAAATGTTTTACATGCCTGAAAAGAATATATATTATGGGATTAAATAGTTCCTAGTTTCTGACAAGCATTTTCAACTGTTTTCCATAAATATGTCATTTAACAAAAAATAGTATGACATGGATTAAAATGTTTCTTTCAAACATTTTAAATGGTTTAACACACGCATATACACACATACACCTTAATTCAAAAACAACATCTTTTTCTTTCAGCCATTTTTCAACTACTTTCTAAAACTCTGTGACCGGATTAAGAAATGATGTAATGTTGTGAGAAATGCCAATGTTTTTATGTTGTCTCCCATCTCAAAAGCTAATATTCAATCATCTGTTTTGGCTTCCATTGTTAAATCTGTATGTTGCATTTTATCCATAAAAATAAAGAGAAAAAAAGGAAAACATTGTCCCAAGAATTCTTATGTTCCACCGGCCTGAGGGCACCATGTGCCTGGTGAAAGACGGGGGCTTTTGGGGTGACTGGGTGGCTCAGTTGGTTAAGCCTGACTCTTGATTTCACTTCAGATCATGATCTCACGGTCATGAGATCAAGCCCCACGATGGACTCTGTGCTGGGTGTGGAGCCTGCTTATGATTCTCTCTCTCTCTCTCTCTCTCTCTCTCTCTCTCTCCCTCCCTCCCTCTCTCTCTCTCTCTCTCTCTCTTCTCTCTTCTCTCTCTCCCTTTTCCCCTCCCTTTCCCTCCTCTCGTGGGCACACTCTCTCTCTCTAAAAAAAAAAAAAAAACGAGGCTTTCAAGTCAGCAGGCACATGTGTGTGTCCTCTGTCATTCATTAGCTAGATGGCAGCCTTGTGCACAAGCTATGTGGCACTACAGTAATGAATTTTGTGATGTTTTTAATGTCTTTAAAAAACAACAAAAAAACTTTTCAACAGATACAGAAAAGACATTTGACAAAATTCAATACCCATTTATGACTTTTTTTTAACTCAACATTTTACTGTATATCTTGTGCAAAAGGCAAGAAAGAAAAGGCATCATGATTAAAAAGAAAACAGTCTCTATTTGGAAATGATACGAGCATTTATATGAAAAAGCCTAGAATATCTTCAACTATTAGAACTAGTAAGAGAATTGAGCATGGTCACAGCATATAAGACTATTCTGTAAAAATCAATAGTATTTTTTTAAGGTTTTAATTTCTTTGTTTTGAGAGAGAGCACACGCACACATGGGAATGTGAGCCGGGGAGGGGCAGAGAGAGAGGGAGACAGAGAATCCCAAGCAGGCCCCGTGCTGTCAGTGCAGCACAACGTGGGGTTCAATCTCACATACTGAGAGATCATGATCTGAGCCGAAATCGAGAGTTGGACACTTAACCGAATGAACCGTCCAGGTGCTCCAAAGTCAACTGGATTTTTTATGTATTAGCAGCAAACAACTGGAAAATAAAGGTCTTAATTTCCATTTCCTATAGCATCAAAAAACATGTTTACAAAACTAAAAAATACTTTTGGTAGAAATTAAAGAATAGCTAAATAAATGTAGAGACAGATCATGTTTCTGTATGGGAAGAGATGGATGGAAGAACATCAGCAAGATGTCAGTTCCTCACAAATAGATCTGTAGATTATTACAGATTGTAGGTATTAACCATCCCAAGCATAACACCAATAGGCTTTTTAGGTAGAAATTGGCAAACTAATTATAAAATTTGTATGGAAATGCAAAGGATCTAGAACATCTAAAGTGATCTTACCCCAAAAAGAGAACAAAGTTAGATTAAGAATGAGGGATTTCAAGACTTACTATAAAGCTACAGCTATTAAGGTAACATGATACAAGATAATATAATAAGATCAACACTTACATCAGTAAAACAAAATAGCACTGAAAGAGGTGCTCACTTATACCGTCATCTGATTTTCAATACAGGTGCCAAAGTTATTAACCTTATGGAGAAAGGAAACTTTCTACAGAAGGGGCCAGGGCAACTAGATATATATATCACAATGTCTACAAAACTTCATCCAAAAAGGATTAGAGTGTTAATTATAATGCTTGAAACAACACCTTCAGACTTGAGAATAGGCAAAGCATTCTTAGGAACAGAAAACAACGCTTTTAAAGGAAAAAAATTGATAAATTAGACTTCAACCAAAGTTAAAACTGCTGCTTATCCAAAGAGACCATTAGGAAATCAAGCAAACCACAGATTAGGTAAAGAGATATTTGTAAAATATATATTTGACAAAAGACTGACATATATAACAAATTCTCTAATGAAAAATAAGCGCACTTTTGAAATGGGCATAAGACTTGAACAGACACTTCTATGAAAGAAGATAACACAAATGGCTAATAAGCACATATAAACACATTCAACATCATATGCCATTAGGGAAATGCAAAACACACCACAGGGAGATACCACTACACCCCCACTGGAATGATTAAAATTAAAAAGATTGATCATGTTGAATGTAGAAGAATCAGAACTCTTATACTTGCTGATATAAAATGGGGCAGCCATTTTGGAAAGGGTCTAGCGGTTTCTGTCAGACCAACCACCAGCTGCTGAGTACAGATGATAACATAAATGAATCTCAGAAACATTATGCCGAGTGAAAGAAGCCAGACACAAAAGGCTACACGCTGTACCACAACTGGTAGGACTGGCAGTGCTGAACAATTTTAGGAGAGAAAACCCAGAACAATGGAGCCTCTGTGGGGGTGGATATGGAGACTGAGTGGAAGGGGCGTGGGGCCTTTCTGGGGAATGGTAACATTCTATATGTGCCATCCAATACAGGACCACTGGCCAGGCCACGTGGGCATGCTGAACACCTAGAATGTGACTGGTCTGAACTGAGATGTGTTCCAGACTTCGAAGACGTAAGTAGGAAAGAATATAAAACATCTCAGTAGTAGTAGTTTACTATTGCATGTTAGATTCCAATATTTTATATATTTAAAATGATATATTAGGAAAATAAATGTCAGCAGATTCTTTTTACTTTCTTAATGTAACTAGTAGAAAATTCTATAATTCTAAAATTATAATGTAACATATAATTCTAAGTTATATATGTGACTTGAATTACATTTCTATGGGACAGTATTATTTTATATTTTGATAAGTGAGTTAGAAAGATGTATTTGTCAAAACTCGGTGAATGCTTCCTTACTATTTCTGCATTTCATTATATGTAAATGTTACCTCAAAAGAAAATAATTTGCAAATAAGAAATATTGAACTTTAGATAATGGTATGCGTACTGGAGTATTTCAGGGGAAGTGTATTGGTGTCTGTAGCTTATTGTGAAATGTATAAAAATAAGATGAATCAATCAATAGAAGGATAGGTATGCATCAGGCCAAATATAGTAAAATATTTATGATGGAAGGTTCATAGGTATACCAGTATTCAATATAATATTCTCTATGCTTGAAATTTTCTGTAGAATTTTGAAAGAAACAATTCTTAACATAAAAACATAAAAGCAGATTAAAGAGAATCAGGACTTTGGGCAATGCTGGGGTTCTCCTTAGATGTTTCTTTTTATCTTCGCCATAGTAAATTACACTTGCTCTGGGTGGGGGTAAGAAGGAAAGTGAACGGGGGAGTATGCTTTTGAAAAGTTTTACCTGAACTATGTCAACTGGTGAGCATATGTGTATTCTTAACAATTTGCTTATGGGGGCACCTGGGTGGCTCAGTCCTTTAAGCATCCGATTTCAGCTCGGGTCATGATCACATGGTTCGTGGGTTCGAGCCCCGCATCGGCCTCTGTTCCGACAGCTAGTTCAGAGCCTGGAGGCTGCTTCAGATTCTGTGTCTTCCTCTCTCTCTGACCCTCCCCTGCTCACGCTCTCTCTCTCTCTCTCAGAAATAAAAAAAAAAAAAAAAAAAATTAAAAAAATTTTTTAATTTGCTTATGAGCTTCTAGGTAACAATAATTCATTCTCAGTATTTGCTTTGCACCTCACCACATGTTCCCTCACTGCGCAGCTGCGGGCCAATGCTGGGGCGTAACTTGTATCCTTAACTGACAGGGGCTTCTCTCCCATCAGTGACCCTCACACACTACATGTCACCCCATGCCACCCCAGGGCCCAAGCCCAATGACTTAACAACAATCTGAACATAGAAGTACCAAAATCAGTAAGAACACATCCATCACTAATAATTAAGTGAATTCACCACTCTAATAATCCATTGCCAAACAGGGTTGTGGAAGCTATTTGGTAGTGTCAAAAATCTTTCAATGATGCAACAACTTTTTATTTTATTTTATTTATTTACTTTGAGAGAAGAAAAAGAGTGCGCATGAGTGAGGAAAAGACAGAGAGAGGGAGATGGAGAGAATCCCAAGCAGGCTCTGCATTGTCTGTGCAGAGCCCCACGCGGGGCTCAAACCCACCAACCTTGAGATTATGACCTGAGCTGAAATCAAGAGTCAGATGCGTAAGCCACCCAGATCTGAGCCACCCAGATGCCCCATCACCTCTTATTTTAAAGGAGTGACTTCTTGCTTCAGTTTAAATAACTGAAATAGTTACAAAGTAATCCAGTTCTAACAAGCAATCCGGGGTTATTCCCTTCTCAATTATATTCTCAATTATATAATCTCTAGCCCTACAACTCTTGATTCAGCAATACAGTAGTTCAAGAAGTATTATCTAGTGATGCAGATAATAAACACAAAATATACTGAACATAAAAATTTAAGTTTAGCAAGTTAACATCGCTCCATGACATTTTGCCCATAGTTATAAGCAAAAGGTTCACCAAACAATCTCAGGGTGCCTGTGTGCCGTTAGCAAGCAGCCTCTATTAAAAGGAGCATAAGAATTTACAAATTTCAAGAGTTTGCTTGATAACAACAAATAACAGTACCTGGTTCATCTTTTGGACGCCATGTAAAATCGTCATGCAGAGATTTTCAAAGAGAGTCACCACAGAGCAAACAGCCCCAGGTGTTTCTCTGAGGTTGAGGTCTTCTTCCTCCATAATTCATACAGAGGGATGGGCCTGAGGAATTATTTTTTCCTTGGTCTTACTGTACCCAATAGAGCCAGAACCACATATCAATACATTGCACTGCCCATCATGTGGAGGCAAAGGTTTTCTGTTTCAGGAGGAAAAGGCTACAAAACTCCTGGTTTAGAAGCATCGATCTGCATCATAAGATCTACCCAATGTTCTGGAACCAGTACAGCTAACATATTCTCTTACCAGGTTCCCAGAAGCAAGAAGCAAGAAAGTTAACCTACAGTCAGATGGCCATAGAGATAAAGTTCACGTCAACTCTTTTTTTCAAGTCCCTCCCTCCATAATGTATGATCAACCCAGTTAACATACAGATATATGAGAAATACATATATGATCATTAGGATTTGGCTTTTTCCATGAGACAGCAATCTTC